TCCCATATTCCTTCTTCAGGTTTATAATCAGCCATTTCTCTGAGGAGCGCAGGTTCCTTTTATTGTAGAGAGATGCTAGAAACCGATATGTAGTGGGTGTCATTGCTGGCAGGACCTCTAGCCAACAGAACGAAGGAGTACATCTGCATACACTGACCTGTAGCCGGTGCCATTTCTATGTTTTCCTCTGCATCTGTATTAAATTAAGCGTGCATCTCCGCTGGCATCCCTAACTGTAATCCATTCCTATATAAGTCGTTCCAGCCTTTGCTCCTTCCTCGTCTGTCGTTTCCAGTTTGGACAGTGAGGAGCCTGTGACCATTGCCTGCCATTCCTTTACTTGAAGAGTCTCTTCTGGGGCACACAAGTACTAGCCTCAGAGCTGCTGAGCCCTACCATGGGGCAGTGACTGTATCAAGCAGGGTGCAGCGCAGAGTAGCCATCCTACCGCTTGAGTCTATGATTCATGTCATTTCAGAGTTACTTAGGACAACACATTCCCCTCCCAGGCCTTCAGGGTAGTCATTTCACATGTCTGCATTACACTTTTGTTGCAGTCTTCATTTTATCCTGGGATTCTCTTACCACCTGAATACCTTTTGTATTTTTCATATATGTAGGTTCAACCCATCTGCTGCATAGTTTTGTGGACTTTGAAAAAATGCACAGTGGCATGTACTTATCATTCAAGAATCATACACAATAATCTTACTACTGCAAAAAAAAAATCCCTAATTCTTCACATACTCAACTCTACTCCTTTCCTAAATCCCTAGCAACCGCTAATCTGTTTGGCATTCACTAGAGTCGTGCCTTTCCCAAAATGTCATAAATGGAATCACACAGCGCGCAGCCTTTTGGGCTGGCTCCTCTTACTCAGCAGTATGCACTTAAGATTCATCCCCATTTTTGGGTGGCTTCATAGCACATTCCTTTTTCCAAAGAGTTTTTTTCTTTTTTTAAGCAAAGCAGATGCATTGGCTCTACTCCCAGGCTCTGACTTAAATGTCTGAGACTCAGGCACTGATGTGGAGATTGCTCTTCCTTTGCTTTCTCCTTACCTCAGCCACAAGCACACACGCGCGTGCACACACACACATATGCACACACACACACACACACACACTCACACATTCATACACTCACATACAGCACCAACTATTAGTCCAAGTCACTGGTGGTTGTGTGAATGGTTTGAGAGAGTCGCTTTCATAGATTTGGTAACTGGAAGAACAAAATGATGACAAAGTGTTTTGGTCCTCCAGGGTGGAATCAGGTGAGAAAGTCTCCAGAAAGCTGGTCCTTAAAGACCTGGTTATCCTAGCAGGGGAAATCTTCTGGTCCAGTGGACACTAGAACATGTACCATGGTTGTCTTCCTGTCTTGTTCATGAACAAGAGATGCCAGGGATTTTCTCAGGGCATATCTTCTGGGTTTTGTTGGAAACGCTTCTTCCTGTGCTCACTTTGAACCTTGAGTCCTGGCAGTAGGGCAGCTGTCTCACAGATGGACCTGGCGGAAGAATTCCAGAAGGGGTCTCTGAATTGCACCACAGAGGGTGGATTGTGGGCTATTAGAAGAGGCCAAGACTGAGCCCACGGCCAAGCGAAAGACAGATGGGGTGAGGGTGAGGTCACATCCACTTGCGTCCTGCTCCACTAAAGGACAAAGAGCAGTCTGGAGGGTCACTGTGCTTAGTAAACACAAGGTTTCCCTCTTCCTGTGTGGCTGCCCACAACACTTGAAGGACAGGAAGCAAAGTCCCTGAAGCCCGGAGCGTAGGATTGCACATGTGTAGAGACGTGCGTGTGCCACATGCTGATGAGTATTCCCGGTATCTGAATCTGAAATCCATCTAAACAGAAAGTGTACATTTTGACTTGAAGGGTTTTGAAGAAAAAATAAAACTGTAAGTAGTTGGAAAACTTCAGGGACTAATATATAGTCAAAATACATCAGACACATTTCTCAGACCTTGTACTTCTTCAGACATTCTGGAATGACAGTTAGTCTGTACAGTAAGTATTACTCTGAGCTGTGTAACTGAGATGTTTTATGCAGCATCTGGCATGATTTGCATGGGCCTGTGTGTGTGTGTGTGTGTGTGTGTGTGTGTTGCTCAAGGTAGGTCCAGAGCCTCACACACGCCAGGCAAGTGATCTGCTGCTGAGCTCTGCTCCAGACCTCTCCAATGTGCTTTTTTTTTTTTTTTTTTTTTTTTTTTTTTTTTTTTCATGAGGCAGTTTCAGGCACAGATAGAGGGACTTTTTCTTACAGTTCACTTTTTATTAATCCTTTAAATGTTGGTTACTAGAGTAAGTTTGATATGATGACTCAAATAATTAGCATATTTTACCATACAAGATGACTTATTCTCCAAGCACTCTACATGAAAAATTATTTTCTAATTAGTTAACAAAGAGCATCTTTTTGATGTTTAGGAAGGAGCAGTACTGGGAGAAAGAAAATAGCATGAGAGGAAATGATGCAAATATGTAATAATACAAACAGGAAACAAACCCTTTCCCAGGGTAGCCAGTGGCTTAACACGATGACACCGGCACTTACCCCGATGGTAGAAGCCATGTAATCGGAGCAGATTTCTGCAAAGTCTCTCCCCATCACCCCATAGTAGAGGCCATAAAACAAGGACACAATGCCCAGGTCCATGGAATCTCTGCCCTTGATTCTGTTAGAAGCAAGAGTACAATGATGTGACAGTATGGCACTTGCAGGTGAGGCCGAGGAGGCTGGAGCTGGGGAAATCCTTCCTGCCACTCTCACAGAGCTTGGTGGTTCTGTAGTTTCTCATGTATTTATTTATTTTTTAATAAAAGAATTTTAAGGGCTGAGAAAGTAGCTCAGTGGCATAAGGGCCTGCCTGGCAAGCACACGGCCCCAAGTTCAATCCCTGGTACCTCAAAAAATAAATAAAAATAAATAAATAAATAAAATCCTCTTGAGTTCCCTCAAATGATACCACTCAGTGCCAGTGGACAGGGGAATTCTCGAGTGGTGAAATTTCTGAAAATGCTTGGTGTAATGTGCGATACCTTGGATAATACCAGATCTTAAACATACTATCTTCATGCAATTTTTGCTTCACTTTACAACAGCCTCAAGCACAAACTTTTATTACACTATACTGGTATAATCATTCAAGTTTAGGGTCAGTTATTGTTAACTTCTCACTGTGAGCAAATTTTAGAAGTTTATAATTAAATTTTAAATTAAATTGAGTTGATAATTAAATTTTATCCTAAGTGTAGTCCCCAGCGATTCATGGGGAAGGAAAGTGAGAAGGATCAGGATGAGGCACGCATACATTCCAGTTCCCCTTGCTGGGTGTGTTTACTGTGTGCCCCAGATGTGTGCAGATAGAAGGGGGAAAACGAAAGCACTATAGATGCACACCTTAAAGAAGAGCAATGTCCACCTCTTCAGCTGGAAATGATAGACCGTTACCATTGCTCTCTCTCTCTCTGCGAGGAATGTTAGGATCCTCCTCTCCCTGGAAATGCCTTGGAATGCTCATAAAATCAGATTATTATACTGTCATAGGATGAACTCCTGGCAATGCAAGGCTGATTCTCTATCCAGTTTGTTTCCTTACTTTATGAGTCAACAGTTGCTAGTCCCTGCCACTTATGGTCCAAGGATTTGGAGTAGCTTCAATGTGAAGAGTGTTCTCAGGAAGTTCTGTTGGAGCTGCTTCCAAGAGCTGGCCCCGAGCCCCCTTTCCAGTGCACTGGCCCAGTCCATGCCTCAGTTCTGCCTGAGAGAATCGCGCCACAGAGTAACTCTGCAACCATCCGCCTAAGAGGGGCGAAGTTCTGAGTCACAGATAAGACCTCCAACCCCACTTTCCATTATTTTTCGCAAGCTTTCTGGTTCTGCTGCCTGTACCTCTCCCACTGTCTAAGCCCCTAGCTCCCTCCATTTCCAGCCATTCCAAGCAAGAGGCTTCATGGATATGGCCAACAAAATTCCTGCCATGTCTAGCGGGGAGTAGAGCTGCTCAGCGGGAACGTAGCTGTGCACGCACGCTGTGCACTGCGTGAGGACCTTCTGGCCAGCGCTGGACCTTCTATGCGATGGTGGCTGTGTAGGATCATGTTCCCTAGGGGCAGCAGAGTCCCTCTGAGTCAACAGAGCCTGTGAGGGTGGCACAATTATAAAACTGTCTAACAATGTTTTTCTCAGAATCTACCCCAATCATTAGGTGACACATGACTATAAATTTAAAATTTAATGGCCCTTTGTACTTAAAAGAAAAGTGCAAAGAAAGAGGTGAAATGAATCCCATCAACACATTTAAAGCACTGTCATTTCCATGTGTAACCCATATAAAATATCTTTTCATATTGTCTTTGAAATCCAATGACTTTTACACTTTCAGCGCATCTTATTTCATATTTCAAGCATGCAGTAATCTTGTGAGCTAGTGAGTACTGCATTGACCAGCACAATTATAAAGGTTGGACAGAGAAGACCTGGTGTGTGTGTGGGGGGCCGTCTAGACACCAGGACTGCAGGGCAAGGAAAGGACAGCGCAGTAACAGTTAGGAACTCTGCCACTATGGGGAGACCATTTTCCATGGTGATGTTTTAAATCCACACCCCAAGTATAGATCTCCTTATTACTGTTTAAGATATGCTTGAATGCTCACTTTTGGAAAAGTGTTATTTAGTAGTCCTTAAAGGTCCTAATTAGGGTCGGCCAAATAGCTCAGCGGATTGAAGCGCCTGCAAGTAGGCGCAGGGTTTAGGGGTTCCATCCCTGGGCCTGCTGTGCTGGCCCTGACTCCAGGACACGCTGAGGTGACAGTTGAGACTGGGCATGGTGGTGCACACCTGTAATCCCAGAAGTGGGGAGGCTGTAAACAGGTGGATCACTATGAGTCTGATTTAGTAGTGAGACCCTGAACGCTCTGTAGACGCTTCCCTAAAAATACAAAAAAAAAAAAAAAAAAAAAGTCCTAATTAAAAAATTGTATTGTGGGGTGCCCTTTTCTTCCTTTTACTCTAAAAGAAGACTGGTTTTCCCTAAGACCGTATGTACATATCTACTATAAAAGTTGTATGCATGGAACATAGTAGAGTTAAATGCTTCCAGAAGAGAGAACATGGGTAGGTCAAGGATCCAAGTAATGTCTTAATTGGAAATACTTACTTGAAAAATATATTGAATCCACACACTGTAAACATGAGAGCCAAATAACCCACAACACCAAATGCGTAGCTGAGCTTGTAGATTAGGAGAAACCATTTGTAGACCAGTCTGTACAGTGAAAAACAAGGAACACACAGGGCGTGGGATTAAGAAGCACTGCGCCATCTGCAAACACGTGCTAAGTGCATTTTCAGTATATATGTATATCTCTCTCTGTAATGATCAAGAGTAAAATTAGCATTTGATATAACAACGAGCAATACATAAATGGGCCTGTCACAGCTAAATGTGGTAGTGCGTGCCCGTAATCGCTGTCACTTGGCTCGATGATTATGAGTTTGAGACCACCTGGGCAACCTAATGAGGCCATCTTAAAATAAAAGAGTCGAGCCAGCCCCGCCCCCGGGGTGCACTGAGACTGCAGTTGAGACTGGGCGTGGTGGCACGTGCCTGTAATCCCAGCTCTTGGGAGGTTGTAAACAGGTGGATCACTGTGAGTCTGATCTAGTAGTGAGACCCTGAACATCCTGTAGACCTGTCCCTAAAAAAAAAAAAAAAAAAAAAAAAAAAAAAATTAACTAAGACTATTATGTTCATGTGTTTCTACATACAATTCAAATTCATTTTAATTTATTTGTGTTGCCAGTGTAACCTGGCCTTCAGTGATGGTTCCTCTACCTGGAATGCTACATCTTTCTCCCTGCTTGTCATCTGGCCCTAGGTTAGCTAAGAGTGGTCTCAGCAGGGGTGTTTGTAGGCAAGCAGAAAACAGCCACCTCACGAGAAGGGACTTCCCTTCCAGTCCTTCCTCTTCCTGCTGCTGTGCTGTCCCTGCTCTCATCTCCAGCCTTTGTGCACACATCAGCCATGGGCCCAACCTTCTCAGCTCACCTCCTCCTTGCCTAAAGGGCCCCTCCTTCAGCCCTGTGTGTCCTCAATGAGCCACTTCCCTCTGCCCACAAGGGTGAAGTGGAGATGAGGGTGGACGGAGAAGGAAGATGTGCCACAGGGAGCCTTTTAGCTGCCTGTCTCCGTCTTCATGGAGACAGTAAATGCCCTTAGAGAAATCACAGCAAGGGCCACGTGGCTCCTCTCTGCTTCCAAGGCTGCAACAAGAGGTTGGGAGCCCAGTGCCAGTCCCGGAGGGCTAGGTGAGAAGCACCGAGCCTCCCTGAACATGGGCTCAGGGGCTTATCTTAGCTGCTCCAAGGCCAAAAGGGGTGTCTGCGGTACCACTCACAGGGTGCCTTCTGGGAAGAGCCTCAGATTGTCCCTTGCCTTATTCCTGCACATTGTAAGCCCTTTTCTTTCATCCCAAACCACATGCAAAGTCTTGCTGTGACAGAGAGACTGCTATAGGGACAGAGGACACACTCCCGGGCTCTTAAACTATTACTCTGAATCAAGATTTAAGAGAAAAACAAGCTTTCGCAGCCTTGAGCAGTACTCCTGGAAACCCGGCTCCCTCCAGCTTTAACTTGTTGTTCTGGTACACTTAAGGTCAGAGATTAAGTCCTGGAGGCAGAGTTTATGTCATCTTGTTCTCACAAGACACATAAGGCTCGGTCTCTGTCAAGGCAGAGTTATCAGTTGCTCTGTCTTGCTTCCGTACCCTTGCTTCCCCTCCTCTCCCCCATTTCTAAATACTCACTCCCTCAGCAAAATGTATAAAAACTAGTCTTTCCTTTAGAGCTCATTCAGCCATGCAGACATCAAAAAGTCACACTGAGCCAGTGTACACCCAATAAGTCCTTCTGTTTATCCATTGCTCTTTCTGATCTCTTGGATTCCGCAGGCTGGTGGTATGCATTTCTGGTGACTACGAAGGGACTGGAGATGACAGGGTTGCCGTCTTCTTTACCTGCAGATTCGAGAGGACCTGGAGCTGTGCGAGCCCCGAGACCTCTGGTACCACCAGGTGAAACTTCATCTCAGAGAGGAAACTGGCTCTTCTGTGGCCAGACAACCTCTCTGCTCCAGCACAATGGAACCTAAAGGGGATTCAGGATGGTTCCAGAACAACGGTGTGCTACGGGATCACAGGAAGGCTTTGAGGGCACACAGCAGATCCTGTCCTGCTACAGCAGAAGCGCAGACTGAGAACCCCCGGGACTGTGCCAAATACTTGGGCTGGGGGAGCCAGAGGAAACAGAAGCCCAAAGCCAGTGGAATTTGGGGCTGGCCCTCAGTGGAGCAGCTTGCTGGTGACTCGCAAACAATTGAGGGACAGGGCCACTAAGAGAGTAGCTCACAAAAGGGTTGTACCAAGTAGCCAGACTCAGGAGAAGTCAAGGGAAACCTATCCCGCAAGTCAGAGGAGTGAAGATAGCCCACAGAAAAAGTAGTTTGCAGAATAGGTGGAGTTGGTTCCCCAGGGAGTTTCACCAGAAATTATACTCACATTGAAAAAAAAAAAAGGGGGCTGGTGAGATGGCTCAGTGGTCTAAAGCACCTACTTAGAACAAGCTTAGCAAAGCACAGGGACCGTGGTTCAATCCCCCAGCACCACATGCCAGCCAGCCCCGCCCCCTGGTGGGCTGAGTTGGCCACACACACACACATAAATAAGGTTTTTTTTTTGTTTTTTTTTTTTTTTTGCTCCAAATGGCCTCAGGAGTGGTTTGGCTGGCCGGGGTGTTGTGGGGATCGAACTACAGCAACCTGAGGCTGACAGCTTTGTGGAAGCAGGCCCTTAAAGAACTGAGCTATGGCCAGGCCCCCTGACACACATAAATAAATAAAAAAAAATTTTTTTAAAAATAGGGAAGGCCACAGATCCCTGGTATCTGTAGAGGAGGGGGCAGCAGCACGAGGAAAAGTGCTTAGTGCACTGGGTTGTGTAGATGGGATGCTGCAGGCAGGCTGTTGAGGGAGAAAAATAAAACCAAAATCCTTCATGGAATCTTAGCTAGCTTCACGGTCGACACTGGAGCCGAGAACTTGATGGCGACACAGTCTGTCGGGCCTCTACCCCAAAGACATGTGATTATTGGAGCTACCTGGATTTTGGCTTTTGCCAGCCAAAGAGGTGTGAATGGGACAAGAGGGGCTGAATTCCCATATCTTCCATGCTGCCCAGTCCCCTGACAGATGGGGTGACTGTGCATGGGCTAGGACTGGACAAAAAAAGCACCTAAGCAGCTGGCTGACCCAGCTGCTGGGCTCAGATGGAGGTGCAGAGCCAGGAGATTTAAATCCAACCACGCCTGCCAAGGTTAAAGGCATGAAACAAGGGTCATCTCTTCAGTTCAAAAACCCCACAAACCCATGTGCTGGGAGTGCTTGAGATCTGAGAGTAGGGACCCTGGCCAGCAGCTGAGGTCTGTGTGCCCCATGGGGTGAGGCACAGGAGGCCAGGCTGGCTCCAGGATCTGGGAGGCCTTTACTGCACACCACTAGCCTGGTGCTGCCTAGAAAACCGAAATAGCACCAATGTCAGGTTGAATGGTGCACCTTGAGGAGCTATTAATGTCCTGCTGGGCTTAAGAAGGTTTTACAAGGGAGCTCAAATTACAAATTTTAACCCACTGATAAATGTACTTTTAATTTCCAGTTTGAATTGGTATGCTTACAACATTTCTAGGGCATTGTAAATTGTTGAGTTATGATTTTGGGGTTAACTTGCTCTTTGCTGTCTGTTGGTTTAAGATAAGAACACAGATTAAAGTTACTCAAGTCTTTTGGCAGTCAGCTAAATTTACAGTATAAGAATCAGAAAAGGGTGTGTGTTTGAAAGATACTTTATAATTCCAGTGGTGCCAAGTTCATTGTAAAAGGTTCACAGCAAATAAGAAGAAAATATTAAAAAGACTGTAAAGACATACTTTTGATATGAGGTTTTGTATGGCAAAATTAGAAGGTTTATATATGTAGAGGAAATGCTTGTAAAAAAAGTTTATCAAAAGCAATATGTTTGGTCATCTGTAAGCTTGGTAAGCCTCAGGTTGTTCCTTCTACAAACTTCTGCAAGGGGAATGATCAACTTGGCCTAAAACAAAAGAGTTTGAAAAAAATGACTGGCATTGCCACAGAGTAAATATAGTGGGAAAAGCATCACCGTCCCTAAAAATGTAAGTTGGAAAGGTTAAAAGAGGCTGCACAGGGGACTACAAAATGAAGCTGACCCCTCCAGAGGTCCAGAGCTCTTTATAAAATAGGTTGACCTTCTTTTGCTGTTAATGGGTGACTGAGGAGACACCTGGCAGGGATGGTGACTGGGAGCAGAGCGCTATCAGGAGCTATTGGGATCAGCTTCCCTGCATTGACTCATGGCTAACTGCAGTTCAGACAAGACCTATGTGACTGCGGCCCTGCCTGGCTGCTGACCGACAAGACCTGGAAAGCTCTGCTGGCATGAAGCATCCGGCTTTTAGAGGTCTTGCCGAAGCGCATGTGAGCTGGGGCCAGCAGGCTAAACAAGAAGCCGATACGAGGCTCAGAAACACCCCAAACGAAATCCCCAGATCTACTGACAATGAAGCTTTGGAGGAAAAAGACCAAGGTCACTAAGGGGCAGGGGCGAGGATGCAAGCAGAGCAAGGACTACACCAGCCTGACTAAACCAGCAAAGTGACCAGAGCTAGGTTGGGTCAATATGTGTGATGTAGAAACCTTGGACCTTGGAAAGATGAGTGCCCAGAAAATGATAGCGGTAAAGATAAAAATTCCCAGACCCAAAGATCTCCTGCAAAGGACGGCTGCAGTTGTCCCATGGGAGGAACCAGATGCTGGCCTCATTGGGCTGGCTGGCATTGACGGTTCCAAGGATCAGGTCAGACCAGGCTGCATGCCTTGGCTCCAAGAACACATGATGTTGGGGGCCAAGTGGTGGGCTTCACGGTTGACAGTGGAGCAGAGAACTTGATGGCGACACAGTCTGTCGGGCCTCTACCCCAAAGACATGTGATTATCGTTGGAGCTACCCGGATTTTGGCTTTTGCCAGCCAAAGAGGTGTGAATGGGACAAGAGGGGCTGCGTTCCCATATCTTCCATGCTGCCCAGTCCCCTGCTGTGGAGAGACCTACACCAAAAACTACAGGCCCAGGTTATCACTGAGCTCCAACGAACTGTGGCTTGAAGGCTGGATCCACCCAGGGCTGTAGTGTGAATCCTTACTGTCCTACAAGCAGAGGAGCGGAAACTGTGCAGATAAGTCACAAGAGCCAGCAACAGATGAGCTACCTGGGCTGACACACATGGGTCCCATGGTGTGGGCCAAAGATGACCCACCTGGGTTGGCTGTAAATCAAGTACCAATAATAGTGAAACTAAAAACTGGGGTGACTCTGGTTCAAGTTGAACAATTCTAACTCCTTCAAGGACATTGAAGAGAGCTCTGAAAACATGGAATCTTAGCTAGATGCCAGTCTTCTGGGAGCACCCCTCTGCTGTTGGCTCATAAACCTGGGACGAACGAGCACAGACTGGTGTAGGACCTGGGTGCCGTACACCAGGCCACTGAGGCCATCCATTCACGCCAAATCCATAGACACTGATGGGCCTCGCTGCTTGTGAGAAAACCTGACTCTAGTAAGCAGAGAGGAAGCTCACATCCCCTTCCCTGGAAGAACGTCCCACAGCAAGGGCCTGGTGTAGCTCAGGGAGGGTCAGCAGGTTCTAAACTGCTTTTGCTGGAGACTGCCTCTCTTGAGTTTGCTTCTGGGTCAGTGTTGATCTGCTTTGCCCTGCTTTGCTACCCTGTAATCAAACAGCTGCTTCCAAAGATCCATAAGGCTGCTAGGGCCGCCCTTACAGAGGAGCACCTTATCCTGTTGCTTTTGTGGAGACCTTACTAGGGTCCCCACTGCTGTCTCTTCCCAGGAGGCCAGACAGGCCCTGGGAGGCTCTGGGCTCTCACACTACTCAAGGAGTGATTTACTCAGGCAGGAAGTAGCTGAAGGGGAGTGCTACAGGCATAAGAGGTCAGTGGCCTGCTGCACCAGCCACGGGAGCCCGGAATCCTTGGAGGATGAGGAAGCTGCACGTGGGCGCTTCCTGCCTACAGCTCTTCTGTGGTGGGGAAGCGGATGTGGCCTTGAGGACTGCGTTCAGCTGCAGTGATTAGCCATGTGGTAGATGAACAAGACATCCTAACTGAAACACAATAGAGCTTACACCCAGCAGAGAAAAACAAGTACACTGGGATTCAGCCCAAACTCAGAGTACTGTCACAGGTATTAAAAAATGAAAGTTTGTAGGAAGGAGAAGGGTGACCTGTGCCCATTTCGCTGATGGGTAAATAACCAAGACTCCAGTCGGCTAGTTTAGAAAATCTCCTCGCTCCTTTAAAAGTGAAATTAAATTGAAACACTCGTAAACTTGAATTTTTATCACCATATTTTTACTTAGGTAATTCCTTTCATTGCCTGTTTTTTTTTTTTTTTTTTTTTTTTTAATTTAAGGAAAAAAGGAAACATTAGCAATTTCTTCCACTTTCTTAAAGGATAAAGACAAATATCAAGATAGTTAAATAAGCATACAAATATTTCAAAGCTTATGGCCAAGTCCCTAAAAAAGTCAAAATTCAACACTGTAGGGCTGGAGAGATAGCGCAATAGAATAAGCACTTGCCTGGCAAGTGCAAGGGCCTGAGTTCAATCCCCGGTTCCAAAAAAAAAAAAAAAAAATCAACACTGTCTTATTGCCATTTTACAATTCACGTGCTTTCTTTTCATCTCATTTCAATATTACCTTGATGAGAATTTGGATCTTGCCTGCAGAATAAAGGCAAGAACAGCCAGTCTTTACGCAGGTGATAAGCACTTGGGAAAGATGTGTGAAGACTAGAGTGGAATTCTGTAGAGCACAGGAGGCCAGCCGGGGCAATCCGAGTAATCCTCTAAATAGTAAAGCCTCATTATCCCCTCAATTCTTGCTCTTTTAAAAAATACATATGACTCCACTTCCACCAGAACGAAACAAAATGGTGAGCTAAAATAAACATGCAAGCGGTGCTTTGGAATTTAAATTCTTTTTCACTTCTCTTTCTTTTGGCTTCCACAAGCTAATATCTGAAGTTACAGTTGTTACAGGCATGACTGCATCGCCGTGAAGCAGAGTGTGAATTAATAGCAGAATCGCTAATCTCCTAAGAGCTTTCCTAAACTCTAAAAGTAGAAGCAGCTTTTAATAACCTTGCTCTTCCTCCAGGCAAAAAGAGGAAGCAAATATATCATTTAATGATTAAAATAAAGAGGGCCACAGGGAGGGGAGGAATGCCATACATACCGCGGCGTCCTTCCTGAGGGAGGTTTTCGGGTGGCTCTGAAGAGGATGTAAGTGGTGATGACTGAGAACATTGCCCACATAGACAGGAACCGCCACCAGTGAAGCTTTATGGTGAAATACAAAGGGACGACCCACATCTGCAGCAAGGTCACCAGCTGTCCCAGAAATGAAGAGATCAGCCTTTAGTGACAAAGGCTCTGAATGACACCTCCATTAGTTTTTGTTTGTCAGTGCTGAGGATGGCACCCAGGGCCCTGCGTGCTCGGGCCACACCCTGCGCTGAGCCACACCCTGGCTCAGCGTGTCCCTCACATTGCAGATCTTCCCAGGGGGAAGCCACTTGGCCATCACAACAGCGACTGGTCCACTGGGCAGTTGTACGCTACTTCCAGGCATGCCAGGTCACAGAGGTGATGGATGCAATCTCTGAAAATTTAAATGCAAGACGACCCAGAATACCCACCCCAGCTATTTCCTTTCATCTATTTCAAATTTGCACTTTGTGGGTGTGGGAGATTCTCTGCAGGTGTAAAGTTGGGGTTTGCTGGTAGTCCTGCTGCCACCCTGTGCTGTGAGGAGCAGGGGGAGCCGATGCAGCTCTGGGAAGGTGGGAAGTCACGTGGAAACCACACCACATCACGCACAGCCACATCATGCACAGCCAGCAGGCTGCTGTCACCGCCCTGTGCCCCTGTGAAAGTGCATGACCACTCAGAAGATGCAGTGACAGAGCACCGGGGGCCCTCCACTGCTGCTTCAGAGTAGCTTGACTGCCCACCCCTCACCCTTCTCTCAACTCTCCTTTGAGTTACTGGCTCCTTTTCCACTCCACCCAGTTGGGGGCACACACCCTGTCCTTTTCCCCTGTGCCTGAGCCCTTGTGACCCTGACCTGAGTCCAAGCAGCCTCCACAGGAGATGCTTTAACCTGGCTGGTTCCAATCTCACATGCTAGGCTGGGCAGGGCAGGCGGGGCTGATGAACTATGAGCTCTTGACCCCACACAGTTCCTGTGGTTGGCCTGCTTGCTAGAGCAGGACGAATATCAGTAGTTGCCTGTCCTGTGGAGAGTGGATGGGTGACAGCAAGTACCCTTGGTCTTTACGTTGCATCTCGCTCTGACTAAGCAGCCATTACTTGCCTAGAATGTGAATATGAGGGAACAGCAAACAGGTCTGGCATCTCAAGGTGTGGGTGTTAATTGTGCAGTGCTCTGCCGAGGATGCTGTGCCTAATCCTGAGTCAGTGGTAGAGGCCGAAGAGCTGGTCGGTCCCCTGCCGGTCGTGTGGAAGAGTTATTAAGTTTGCACATCAGCCTGCATACAAAAGACCCAGCCTGCTTGTTTTGTTTACTTTCTTCATCATCATAATGAAAGGGGAAGGCTTAGAAAAAAGTCTCTGTGTACAGTTTGGGCTCCTTAGAAGCGTATGAGGTCAGTAATCAAAACTATTGGACAGGACATCAAAATGTAAGTGCGAAGGGTAAGGTCATGCTGTCTTCCTCCCACGGTGAGCAAGAGGCATTCCTGGCTCTTTATTCTTTGCCATTGCTCCGTCCTCGTCCTCGTAAGCTGATGATCTGAAGTCTTCTTAGAATTGCTCTAATTCACCTTTCAGGGAACATGAAAGGTCCTATACGTATGTTCTTAAGCAAAAATACCCACGCAGCAAATCTGAGATAAATGTCTGGAGAGTTTAGGGGGAAAATCCTCTTTTTATTTTTAATTTCAGGGGAATACTTCACAGGAGAGGAAATGTTCTTTACGTTTGCTTGAATTACTTAGATAATCGCTTCAGTTTTCCAAGCCATTTTGTGATTGTGGTCCATTTTAATGAAGTGTTAGCACCTGTATTTATGACATTGAGACAAATAGATCCAAAAGTAGGAGAAACAGGCTCATTGAAGGAAGTAGAACAGCTCTCATGAGGACCTGAAACTGCCTGCTAGATAACTAGGACTCAAAAGATGCTGACCGTAGTACTCAAATTAGCAACTGGGACTCTCTGCTGGTGCTAAGGAAAGTTGTATTGTAGCTTTTTAAAAACAATCTCGTCAACATTTTTGGTCATTCATTTCCTGTGGCTGATTTTGGAGATGGCTATTTATCATAAATTATAAAAAAAAAAATCCATGGGCATTTGCTGGTTGGCTCAGTTGTTTAAGAGCCTGCTGGGCCAAACCCAGTCAGGCACAGGGGACTGCGGTTCAATCCCCAGTTCCCCACGCCTTACCAGACCTGCCCTTAAGGCAGCCTGAGCCAGCAATAAATAAATAAATAAATAAATAAATAAATAAATAAATAAATAAAATCCTTATCATAAATTATACAATTGCTGACATTAAAAGGACCTGTACCTCTTTTTTAAAATATATATATATTTTAGGGAAGGGTCTATAGGGTGTTCAGGGTCTCACTATTAGATCAGACTCATAGTGATCTGCCTGTTTACCGCCTCCCAAGAGTGGGGATTACAGGCATGTGCCACCATGCCCAGTCTCAATTACCATCTCAGCACGCCCTGGGAGCGAGGCCGGCACAGCAGGCCTGGGAATTGAACCCCGGGCCCCTACACCTGTTGGCAGGTACTTTAATCTGCTGAGCTATTTGGCCAGCCCTCCTGTACCTCCTTTTTTTGTTTGGCTGTTTCGTGAATGCTCTAACACAGAGCTACAGCCCCAGTCCTACATTCCTTACTTCTGACAATGAAGGACATGGGCACAGTGGACCCAGCTTTCAGAATCTGGTCATCTGTCATTTGTATCTTTCATCTTTCTAAGAATTTTATTCCACTTCACATTTGTCCCATAAAATGATAAGAGATTTTTAAAAACTGAACAGTTGAGTCTGTTGACTTTAATTCAGGCAAATTACTATGCTCTTCTATTTTACACTTTAGGTCCTAAGCCAACATTTATAAGGCTAATAAACTTCTTTAGATGCATGGAGTCAAACCTAGGAGAGTTTGGAGCTACAGTTGGGCTCTATTTTTATAAAATGGGCTCTTCATAGCTCTTTAAGAATGAACCATGTATTGAATATCTCAAATTTCTTTTCCTAGATTACTGGGTGGAATTAACAAGGAGTAAGAATGCTCAATGTATAGACACACATTGTTTAAGGTAGGTTCTGGAGATCAGAAATGAAAGGAAAGCAAGAAGTCATTATGTTGCAAGCAGCCGAGTTAAGATAGAAATATTCTCAGCAGTCATACATGGCCAGGCCCTCAAAGGAGATAACACAGAAGATACCTTACAACTGTGGGAAGGAGGGATGGATGCTCCCACTGTGGGTCAGACCTAAAGACCAAAGATCAAACAAATGTCGACCTCTCTAATGATTGGCATCCAAGATTGATCATCACCCTGAGGGAGCCAGAAAATCATTAATCCAACTACTACTGGCTGGCTACCTGATAAAGTCCTGTTCTACATTCATGCCTGCTTGCTACATGACTTGCTTCCCCATTTGGTCCTGAACTTAATCAGTTTTACCTGGTGCTTGTGATCTCATTGGTTGACCGTAGTTTTGTCCCACCTCATGTCCACCTAAGTGAGTTCCCATGTTCTCTACCACCTGAGACCTGCCTCACCGCATGGTTTTACTCTATAAAAGTCCCTGGAAGAGACAGCGTCCCGGGGACAACCCGCTCAGGCCCCACTCCTGTTCCTCTCTCGGACAGGAGCTTTCTTTCCCTCAATAAATATATTCTGCTCATAACCTCCATTTGTTCCTAAAATTCACTCTTTGGTTTTAGAGAACACGAACTCGTCCAGGTCAGGTCTGGAGATCATTTTTCCCTATGTCATTTGGAGGTTCCCTGTATCATTTGGAGGTCACCCACCCAAGATCAGTGTTTCTCCCTGTATCAATTATACCATATTTGAATGTAAATATTTAATTTCTTTTTAAAAAAATGTATTTGGTACAGGGTCTGTAGGGTCTCACTATGTAGATCAGACTCAGTGATTTTCCTGTTTTCAGCTTCCCAAGCTCTGGGATTACAGGTGCAGGGAACCACTCCGAGTCCCATTCGCTTTCTCAGTGTGCCCAGGGGGTGGGGCTGGCATGGCACTCCAGGGATCGAACCTTGGCTGCTAATATTTAATTTCTTAACTACCTTAAAGTATATACCCAGCTCCATATTTTGTTGCGTAAAACACAGCTGCACGGCTGGTCAGGAGCAGCCCCGCGGCTGGATCCTATCACCCCAGTCCTCCCACTCACACATCGCAGCGGGAGGAGTTTCCTGGTGAATCAGCAGCTGCCCAAAGGTGCCATACACATAAGGAAGGTGAAAAGCACTGCAGGTGAAGTCGAAACAAAGACATTCATCTAATTGTGTAGCACTGACCAACGGGCCATGCAGTATTTTAAAAAGGAAAGGAAAAGAAAAGAAAGCAAGCTAGTTTTGAGACGCTCCTTTCCATTGCGCGGCAAATCCCCAGCTATTTGCAAGCATTTGTGCACCCACAGATGCGGGGTGGGGGAAGGGAATGCTGGGAGGCCAGCAGAGGGGCGTGAACGACTGCAGGACACACTGCTGCTCTCAGCACAAAGGCCATGCAGGAAAGCGTGGACATAAATCAAAAGGCAAGCATGGAGTCTCGGCACGCGCAGGGCCCATAGAAATGCAGTCGGTCCGTATGTCTATCTCCGAATCAATCCAGACAGCTGATTTCGTTATTTAACTCTTGAAGAGTATTTCACATGGTCATGTAAGCATGTGTGTAAGTTATGCATGTATTTATGAGTTGCCTAATTCTAAAGAGCTTTGAGCAGACACCGTGCCTTGCTGGCACAATAATATTTCCTAGTGTTTTATGGCTGTTAATAAGCAGGAAGTCTGATTTACACAGAACAATGCTTCAATCCGTGGCAAATTATTTGCTCGTGTATTGAGGCAGATTGATAGAGTGAAAGCCAAATTCTGTGGAGGCAGTTCTCAGACCGCAGTGGGCTTGAAGCGGAGGTTTCTGCTCTAGCGCCTTCCTTCTCACTTTCTGCAGACATGTGAAAAATAGTTCCGATGCAAGAAGGTGGAGGGTATTTAAATTTTACTTTTATTTAAATGCTATTAAAAACATTTGAGAATAATTTAACTTTGAAACTCTGTCAGTATCTACACTGGGTCATAATCACCTGCTGGAAAGAAAA